TCCCCGACCTCCTATTACTTATGTACACAGCAATCACTACTGTGCTATGGTTATATAGTTTTCTGTTCTTCATGTCTAATCATAAGACATCAATTAGAACTGACGATCGTTGGCCGTGTATGTTTGGCCATTTGTTAATACTTAACAAGCTCAAAGTTTATATGAAAAGATATGGTCTAATATCCGCCTATTGATATCATTTTTTCATGTTTATGTAATTTCACGACTTTATTTTTGCTTACTTCCCTTTGTGATTGAATTGTTTACCTTGACTGGGAAAATGAAAAACATTGTGAGGGAATGGAGGGAGGTGGCGGAGGGTGGGGTGGATGTGTTTGTGTGTGTGTGTGTGTGTGTGTGTGTGTGTGTGTGTGTGTGTGTGTGTGTATGTGTGTGTGTATGTGTGTGTTTGTGTGTGTGTGTGTGTGTGTGTGTGTGTGTGTATGTGTGTGTACACGCGCGTGCGCGTGAATTCATTTCTAGCCTACTGCATGAGGGCGAAAACCAGGACAACAATCACACTTTAATTCGCTGTGGACCTTTCTAATGTACTTTTAGCTGTGACTTTTGTATATTCTTATCAGCTTCAAAACGCACTGGTTATGTAGTTTTTTTTTCTTCTGATAACTCTCTCCCTGTACAGGTACCGCCAATTACACAAGTCAGAGAACAGTCGACACACGCATGTCTGTCATTGGCCACTCTTGTAGCTTTCATTCAGGTCCTGAGTAGGTGCCTCACCCCTTGTCGTATTCATATATAACTGTAACTATAACTAATTGTCAGCTGGTCTTCCTCTTCTATTTTCCACTTGGTCTCCGGCACAATATCTGCGATATAGGGTACTCTTGTCTCTGGCTTTCTCAGAACATGTCCCAACTATCTATTCTAAAAAAGTAACACAATTCAATATTTGCCCCCCCCTTCTCTCTCTCTCTCTCTCTCTCTCTCTCTCTCTCTCTCTCTCTCTCTCTCTCTCTCTCTCTCTCTCTCTCTCTCTCTCTCTGTGTGTGTGTGCCTGTTTGTCTGTTTGTCTCTTGGAACAACCTTTCAATAGCCTACCTTTTTGGTGTTTTCGTGTGCACGAGCACATGCAGGCGTGTTTGCGGATTGTGCGGATTTTTTTGTTTGTTTGTAGGCCTAAGTATGGGCCGGAGGAGGGGTTTTTTGAGAGAGAGAGAGAGAGAGAGAGAGAGAGAGAGAGAGAGAGAGAGAGAGAGAGAGAGAGAGAGAGAGAGAGAGAGAGATGGGGGAGGGAGGGTTATGAGTATTATGATGAAATTATAAGAAAAGATGGACAATAAGGGGGGGGGGGGGGTGCCTTCAGGTGAGTATAACTTCTTTTTGGCTTTGCCAGTTGGGGGCAGATGAAGTTAAGGGATGGGCAGATGGAAAGAATGCGTTAAAAACTTTCAGGTGAGAGAGAGCGAAGAGGTTAGGCCTAAGATAATACCTTTGAGTGAGAGTCCAATTAGATCTACACAGGGGGCTCTCGTGGCCTAAAGGTTAAGGTGTTCGCCTCTCATTCAAAGGTCCCAGGTTCAAATCCGGGTAGAGACCGAAACATTTTCTTCTATAAAATTGTCTCCTTTCACCTTCTTTCCTTCTCGCTTGCAATTTTCTATCGTTTGCTTTCGTCTCTACTTTCTTCCCCCACCCCCTCACCTCCTTTGCCCACTCCACTGGGCCCCCGACTCTTTCTGCAGCCTTACTTCTGCTACTTCTTGGCTCCTTCTTATTGCTGTCTTTTAGCCACACCCCTGATTTTCTAGTAGGAAATATGTACACATAGCCTTCTCGGACAAGGGAGAAAAATCTCGGAGGTACCGTGTGCAAGTTGCGCACATTAAAGATGCCCTGGGTGGTCCAAAACCGTTAAGAGTAGGCTTCGCGCCACGGGGGGAAAATTCAAAATGTATCCTACCACCTGAAAATGTAGGTGTGTCCGCGTGCTATGTTCACCCTATGCAGTTGCGAACGCCGTAAAACAACCCCCCCC